TTTAAGCAAACTGGAGAGAAAATTTTTCAATTCAGCGAGATCCAATGCTGTAGATCAGGTGTGGCCAACCGGTCGATTGCGATCGACCGGTCTATCGCGACTGTTAGTCGAGTCGATCGTTGTTGTGATGAGCTAATTTGGTCTTGATCTTGCAGTCTTGGTTTTCGTTTTGCGAAAAAGCAAGACCAAAACCAAATTAACATGAACAAGACCAACTCCAAGACTGATTATGCAAGACCAAGACCAAATATGCAAGACTCAACCGAAAATTTCTACTCGTGTGAAACCGCAAATTGTGGATAAATGTGCTCCAAAGAAATCAAAAACTTATCACTTTCACCAGGAATGAGAATTACACTACTTCTTTACTACGATGAAAGAAAACTGCTGCTGCTGCCTAGTATGCAATAAATCCCTGGTAAAAAAGGTGGTTAAAAGAGCTGTTAATGATTTCAAGAAGTATGTTCTTGGTAGATCGCACAGGGCTTCATAAGTAAGCAGTAGATATTAGTTCTAATCAAGTTGGCCACCCCTGCTGTAGAAAGATACATTTCGCTAAATCTCTTCTAGGCTGATAATGCTGATGAAGAATCTGTCAAGCCAGGAGATTATGGCATTACGTTTCCATAGAGTTAGTTGTTACGCCTAAGGTCAGCTGTTGACGTAATCCAGCCGATGGTGATATTTAAAATTAACGATTTGCTGACGTGAATGAACTGAGAAAAGCTCTAGTCATTTCAAGTCACAACTAAACTCTTATTCATTTGCAGCATAAGTGACGTGGCTTGAAACCAATAAATAGAGTTTATCTCAATTAAATCACATGAGTAATACGTTAATTTAAAAAAAACAGTTCGGCAAGTGATCCCGAGGACCCAATGACAAACCCTGAGGTATCCCATATAAATTTTTGATTTGAAATCGAAAGTAATGGATAAATTTGTAGCACAGGTAAATTAAATTGATTTACAGATAAGTAATTAAAACAGATAAGTAAATAAAAAAAAATATTTAGGAACGAACCCTAAAACCGAGCAGACGTGTAACTTAACTACCGATTCGATACAATACCAGAACATCATTAGTCCTCAACGGCACGTGTATCCGTAATCTTGGTTTTACATTCCTTGAGCCGGCCGCTATCAGATCACATAAGTGATAATAATCTCTATGTAACCAATAAATACATATCATTTTTCAATTTCAAAAGTCATGCTCTGTCAACTGTTTCTCTTTGCAGACGGTACATCTTTCATTCACTCTTGCTTTGCGAATATAGACGTTGTTTAACTATCAATGAGGGTTCATTATTGTCTGTATTCAAATCCGTAACGTTTGCAAATAGAACAGTATTAAATCATTGCACTTAATGCTTATCACTAATCAGTTTTATCATCAGGAATGTGGTGTAGATGGTATTTTGCCGATTGTTTCTGTGTCTGATAAGAGATATTGGTTGTATAAAGATGACAAGTAAATAAAATACATATTTTGGTTGTATCTTTTCAATAATGGGTTTCAAGTTTTTCGATGCAATGCAGTCATTTTATGAGGAGGGTGAGGGGCGGTTACTGACTGAAAACTACCCCAATCCTCCGGCCAAGGATACGGTACATATTGTTGCGATTGACTCGCAACTCCAGCTATAAACATCAGCCCTATTGGGCTGCATCTGTGGTGGTCTCACTTTGAGGCGTGCGTGGATGAGGTGCTTGCTAATTTTTTTTGGGAATAGAGATGGCATGGATAGTTAAGTATTTATTTGTATTGAAACAAGGTACCTGTCTAAGTGTCTACATATGTATTATTATGTTTTTATATATTTTTTTTGTTTTTATATAAGGATATCTGTAATATCGGAGGAGTTACGACTGCGTTGTTAGTCTTTTGGGCGGTGTAAGGGTTGGGGATGGCGGTAGGAGTGAGCCCATAGGCTATGGCTATGGCTATGACAATAATATTTGAAATTGTTTTCTGTTGCCATTCTAACTCTGGACACCAAAAACGTAAAATTCAGTACTTTGAAGAATTGTCAATATCGACAGCTATTTAATAGATACGTTACTAGAAAATTCATATGGACATATCGACGTAGGTTTGGAATAAATATACAAAAAAGAAAATTGCTCGTAGGTATATAGTTGAATCAAGGAATGTAAGTGTGTTTTTTATAAAGTCATTTTAATGTATGTCACATACCATGCACCAGTCCAGTTGGCACCTGACGATTCCCGTACAGTACAAATCTTTGTGTGATCTACAAATTATTGTTCCGTGTTTGGGTGTGAGGTGTATCATGACAGGAGAAAACCACTAACACACAACAAATTTCTCTAAATTGAAAAGTAGATCAATTTATTTTTGACAAACTATAATATCCCATTGTTTCATATAGCTACTATAGTTCATAATCATTCATACAATATTCATCCTTCATAATTACACGTGTAAAACAGATTTATCTATCATTGTGTGTGTGGTCAATGGAATGGACGCAGAATTTCAATTTAGCTCATAAATAGAATCGAATTCCACTACGGTACATCAACGACAATTTGGCGCTGTAAGTAGGTATGTAATAAATTATTTATTAGACTACGTACATATATTATTTGTAACTCTTTTGTAATCGACGTTTTGTTTTCATCATAATATAATAAAGAATGTAGGTCACGAATTTCAAATACAATTTATAAGGAGCTTTGAAACAAAAAAAAAATGTTCTATGGGATAATTGAATGCGCTCCGCAGTTGTTTAGCCCAGCCGATTCGCTATAGCGTTCCGCGTGCGGCTCAAAAAGAGTCCACAGACCACGACAGATGGAGCCCAATAGGGCTGATGTTTCAGCGGCGTTTGTTTGTGGGTCAAGCAATAAGGAACGTGGTGAATTTTTATCAGTAACAATCTGAATCTCCTCGTCCTGACAGAGTCGAAATCACAATACTAATAACATTTTCATCTGTAAATAAATATAGATCTTTGATGTGATCACCCGGAAGGCCTAAATTGGATCTAGTGCTTAAGTACAATACAGATCTTTATATATGTATAGTCCTGATAAGGATGCAGTGCGGTAACCCTTCGTATGGCTAGACCTTCAAGACAAAAGTCTTCGATGATGCATCCAGTGTTGACATAGGGAACCGAGATGTGGTCAATGACAGTACGACTGATCCACCAATTAAAAATGTTTAGCCACGCAGCGAGCTATGGTAAGGGCTATGCTTGGAGTCTCTCTGAAAGATAGTTTTAGAATAGAAGCGAGCAAATTGAACTAAAGTTGTCAACCCAAAATAGCCCAAAGGATTAGCAAACTGAAGTGGTAGGTTACATTTGTCGAAGAATGCCGATGACCGTTGGGGTAGACGTGTTCTAGAATGGGGACCATGTCTAAATACTTCTCTAGAACGCCTTCCATCTAGATGGACTGACGATATCTGTACGTTAGTGGATACAGATATCGTCAGTCCAGGGATGGATGAGAAGAGCTGAGGATCGTGCTCAGCTGCATGCAATTTCGGAGGCCTATATCCAGGACGACTACTTGACTTTGACTTTGACGAAAAGAAACGAAAACTAAAAGGCCGGCAACACTTGTAATTCCTCTGAAAGTTACGGTTGTAAACATACCGATTGCTTAAGTGCCTGGAGACCCGTCTGCTCATTGGCCTATGTCATAAAAAATTGAGCACATATGTTTTTTCAGTACATTATTAATTTATTTATGCTTTAAATGATGTAATGGGTACAAAATGCGAACTGAATGCCATTTGGCATTCTCTACTAGTCAACCTTTGTGAGTACCTAGAGATTTTTTTTTTATGTAGTTGGTCAGCAAACGAGCAGACGGATTCCCTGATGGTAAGCAATCAGCGCCGCCCATTGACACCCGCAACGGAGGATTTACGAGTGCGTTGCCGACCTTTTAGGGATTAGGATTTGGAGATTTAGGGATTGAGGAGGGATTGGGGGCGGGGAAGGATTGGGCCTCCGGTAACCTCACTCACACGGCGAAACACAACGCTGTGGTTGTTTCACGCCGGTCTTCTGTGAGGCCGTGGTATCACTCCGTTCGAGCCGACCCATTCGTGCTGAAGCATGGCTCTCCCACACTTAATTCAGCATTAAGAATTCAGCGAAAAATACGGTACAGGACGGTACGGTAGTGGTACGGGAAATATATTTTCTAAACAAACAGGAAAAAGACGAATTATTTATAAAAATAGCTATTATAGGTACTAATATACATACAGTAGACAAAATAGACAAATTGTATTATGGTACATATTACGGCATATCAATATTTATGTAATATAGCATAAAGATATGGTCAAATAAACAAAATTATTTATTTTTACTTACTAATATTATAAAGAGGTAAATGTTAAGTTTGTATGTAGGGGGTTATTTTTGAAACTACTGGTAAGATTTCGAAAATTCTTTCTCTGATAGATAGCTACAAAGTTCCTGAGTGGTATAGGGTAGGCTAAAACACCACCCTACGACTAATAAGAGTCCAGCAGCGGGTGAAACCGCGCGACTTGATGATATTTAGGTCTTTGATGCCATTTTAAATATCGGTCACTTATTGAGGAGTAAATAAAACTTTGTTTTTTTTTTATAACGATTTTATTTTTAACAATGTCTTTGTACATACATATCAGGCAATACTGAGATGTCATAGAGTAATATTACAATTTTTTTTAAATACATCGTAAGAAATACCTACTTAAGTAGATATAATATTACAGGTATTGTCACACGCTTCTTACGATTAGGCTTTTATCTTAGAGCTAAAATATCAGATTAAAAATAAATGTTATTTTTATAATATCTTATACCTACGCAAATATATGATATAAATTTAATCATACCTATACTACATGTAGTGCTGGTAACTATACATTCTACATCGATTTATTTCGTAAATGAAATAAAATTTAACTTTTGTAATGGAGTTTCCAAATGATGATGAAATTTCTGACAGAAAATTCAAAATGGCGGTTGTTGTTTCATAAAAATTGACGTTGTAGGTGAAAAGTCTACCACTGTGCTTTTCATTTTATTTTATTATTTATGACGCCAATCTAGAGAGTAAATGTTCGTATATAAACTCGACGTATCTATCCCAGGATTCTACAACTTCAGGTTCCAGTTTCAAGTCCTTCTGCAGAATGTTTACCAGCACATCTTTGAATACCTGTAAAAAAATACGTGTTCTTATTTAATTTTTTTTTATTATTATTCTTTATGTTTGTTTCTTTTTAATTTTTTTTATGTAGTCGAAAGCAAACGAGCAGACGGATCACCTTATGGTGAGTCCACCCATGGATACCTGCGACACCAGATTTATCAGAGAATTCTCTATGCTCCCGTATTTGTTAAGAAAAATGATTTTAACCTACGTACTAAAGAATTTTCTTCAGTCAGTCTGTCAGTAACCAAATCGCTTTGTCATCTCAAGTATCCAGTTTGGTGTTTTTGGCACAATTTCCAAACATGTCAATTTAAAACTCAAAACGTTATCTACTTTTATAATTTGTTTGAAAAAATTAATATTGAAAATATTATGTAAATATCGATGTTCTATTTTGTGATTCGAGAATCCGAGAGTCATGTTCGAAAATGAGGCTAGCCTCTTCGGTAGTTATTTTATTAAGGTCACTTTTAAATTTCCGTCAACGAAATGCATCTACATAACACTTTATATGTAGGTAGGGTAACTAAAAATCTTTTTCTTTTCGAATCGAAATTCAAATTCATTTCGAACTTTCAAAAGCCGATTAAAAAAAATGTTTAGCGAAAATCCTCTTTAAGCATCCCCTGTGCCATCATAGTTTTAAACTTAATTTGGAATTGATACAATTGATGGAGCTTTACGAACAACTTACATGGAAATGCCTCTTCTCAATTCTATGCCTTCGATGGGAGTCTCCGAGCTTCTGCATCCACGCTACAACCAGCTCAGGTTTGTCCAGATTCTTGATAGAATTGTCGAAGGAAGACATAATGTTGATGATATGCGCTCTAAAACTAACATTCGCCGTCATTTCTTCTTCAGTGTGGATGTGGGCCAAGTTCTTGAAGAATGTCTTCGTTTCTGGTTCTGCTTCGAAAAGCCTGTGAGAAATTAACAAATGCTGTAGGTAATTAGTTACTTATATAAAAAGAGGACAAATTACTATTAAGAGCGCAGTGTTTTGTTGTTCTTAATTATTATTATTGGCATATAGTAGTTAGTAAAACTGTCCAACAACCACCGCATACAGTCTTTTAAGCTGAATTGAAAGAAAATTGAAAGTAATTAACTTTCAAAAATATCTCTTCAATAGCTGTTTTATTTTAATGTAAAATATTTTTATACCTAAGAACACTATATTAATGGAATGCAATAAAACAGATGATGGTAGTTAAGGAGTCACCGTCTAGTTACTTAATTAGGAAACCACGACTCCTTGATCACATGTAATGAAGTTTTAAAAATATTAGGCACATTTAATGTGGTGAAAAAATAATCAGGCCGTTTTACGCAGCAACCGCAGCAGAAGAAACGGTTTGGTTTTTAATAAATAAGACACTGTGACACTCTCCATATCCAGGACGGAAGAAGTCATTTAATGAATTCAAACTTTAGCGTCAATTACGTACTGAACTGACATCTACGTCGATTAATGTATGTAATGAACTATAGTCAGCTCGTGTGTTAATATTTATTTAACTAGACACACAACACAAGCGGCCCATGTCCATTTAAATTACATAATTATCCTCAGTCGAATTGAAAAATGCGTCGTATGAGCATAATATGATAAAAAATGGCAATTGTGTTTTGGCGCGTTTTTGTCTAGGTACGTACGAGTCATAATAACGTCTTTTTGAATGCGCACGCAATCATCTAACTTGTCAGTTGTCAGTGTAAATTGTTGAAATTAAATAGTTTAAATAGATATAGACCGTGACATGCCGATTGTACAAATAAGAAAAAATAGGTTCAACTTTACCTAAAAAACATAAGGAATCCATTTCCGTTGGAGTTTGCATTAATGACAGCCCAAGATTTTTGCACATTGTAGATATCCCTCAGTGACATGCCAGATACTTTGTTTCTCTCATCAGGGTCGCCGCCCCACCACCATCGTTTGACTAAGTCCCCAACGCCCATGTTTTCAGATACTTATTGAACTATAAATCCTTTGCCTCACAGGTCTTCGGTGCTCTTCTCTTGGATTTGTCAGGTGTTCTGGGAAAGGATAAACATTTAGCATGCGATCCAGGTTTAATAATTACAAAACACATACAATAACAAAAAATTACGCCAAATTTTTTTATCTTGCGAATGTCAAAAGCAGCCGGCTGTATCTCTTGTTTCCTTTGCCTGGTTAAATTGAACAAGTACCTACTTAGATTTTTTTCTGACTGCACTATCGTTAGTTTATACAGCCAAAACAATCGTTAAATGGTTTTATTTGGTTTAATGATTCTTCGAGGTTACAGACTCAAAGTTAGAGATAGAAGAGTATGTAAATAAATTACAGCAAAACCTGCGACATTTATTGTGTACTTAGTTTGTAGGCAAGTAGGAAAGACGGTGACCATTTGCGGTAAAAATATAGTACCTATTGTTCTTTTGACAAATTTATTGATCAATAATAAACAAAACGTTACAGGTACCTGGCTGATACCTACCTCAGTATACTTTAATTAAAAATACCTATCAACATTTTAAAAAATGAGTGTCGTCAGAGTTTACTTAAAGTTAGATCCAAAAATTAAAAGTATAAAGCGTAAAATAATGTTAAAATCAAATATAACAATTACCTATGCGCAATTTTAAGATAAAAATACTATTGGAATGCATTTAAAGATTGATATACTTATATCATGAATCATACATAAGTACAGACAGACAAAATATTGAGTAAAGTTATTAAAACCGACCTCAATACTATGAGACAAAGAATGGCGCAATGGACTGAACACAAAATAATGGCGAATACAGAACTAATATGTGTATTATCCACAAGAAAAGCATTCAAATATCAATAGTTTAGTTCAAGGTTCAAGTGATATATTGTTTAGCACTTTAAAAACATAACAATATCACGCACAATCACGATTTCCTGAACAACAAAGTGATAAGTAAAAAAGGGAATTAAAAAAATTACCTATTAAATATTTACAGTCTTGTTTTCGATAATCGTAATACTTATTATTTGTTCAAACTTCGACGCATGAGCATCGAATGAAGGACCGCGATCGACTGAATGCTCGACTCAATCGAAGATAATCTTTATATAGACTTTTTCATCATTAGTTGCTAAAACAAATAAGCCTTTTGACTGCTAATTTTGCACACCTTCCTTGCAAAAAGTTACGAGTGCACAATCAGTAAACTTGTACTCACACTTAATTATTCTGTAAGAGTGAGAACTTCAGATAAAGTTACAACATTTTTGATTAGACAATACTGATATTCAGATAAAAAATATACCTAATATGTAAGTAGTATGGTGAAGATGTAATTCGAACTTTAATTGTTTATTTACTGGTCGTGATCATTTTTAATTTTTTGCATGTTTATAAATTTTGAGATTATTACATTTTGTGATTGGTGAGAATAATTTTATTTTCATCATCATACATGTAAACGAATGTTGAAAAAAGGAATAAGACATTGTTTATAGCTATTACTATATATGAGAAAATAAAATTAATTAGATTTTAATTATTAATTATGTGTATATTAAACAATACTATAAACATTTAACTATTAACAGTGTAGCAGTATACTTATTTGGGACGCGTATCCAAACAAATATTGTCTAGTGACAGTGACAATAAAATGACAGATTGCGATTAGATGTCAACTGCCAACTGCCAATGTCACAACCGCATGTTGTTGCTTAGAAACACATTACACATTCTTCTTTTATTTTTTGATATTTATTAGTGTTGAACTTGTCCCGAATCCTAGAATGGCAAAAGCTAGCGAATCAGCAATAAAGAGTATTGGGACGGTACTGAACGATCCTTCGAGGCCCATGAAAGAGCGTTTCCGTGCTTTATTCACTCTCAGAAACTTGGGCGGGGAAACTGCAATCGACTGCATCAGTCAGTGCTTTGTAGATGAATCTGTGCTGCTAAAACATGAGCTGGCTTACTGTTTGGGTCAGATGCAGGATCAACGCGCGATACCTGTACTAAGGAGAGTTTTAGAGGACAAAAACCAGGACCCTATAGTTCGTCATGAGGCAGGTTGGTTCTTATCATTTGATTCGCAAAATGATGATAAATTGTGTGATAGCGAGTACGTGAGCGAGAGCATGCATGGTTTGCCGTAGGTATGTCAAGTTCATTATGAATTAGTACAAGTGCACTTCATTTTAAGTGCTATACCATGGTTTAAACTCTGAACTAAATACTTTTTAATAAATGATTCGAGTTTTAAAATCCAATATGAACTTGTATTTATGAAAAAGTGTTGTTTATTAATATTTAGATGAAGTTAAAAATAAGAAACAAGTTATTATTTCTATTTAAGTTATTATCTCAGATTAATTCCACTCCAGCTTTTAATTTTCGTGTTACAATTTATGAATGTATCTATATAATTCTCATTACATGTTACAGGTGAAGCTCTAGGCGCCATAGGAGATCCTAACCTCAGAGAGCTGTTAGAGAAATACCAACATGATCCTGCTGTTGAAGTGGCAGAGACATGTCAGATTGCTTTACAGCGACTGAACTGGGTTGCCAATGACAGTTCCAAAGAGGTCAACCTGTCAAAGAGTTTGTTTACATCCATAGATCCTGCGCCACCAAGCAGTGAGAATGATGTGGAGAATCTAAAGAACACTTTGATGGATGAATCTAAACCTCTTTTTGAAAGATATAGAGCTATGTTCAGTTTAAGGAATTTGGGGACCACTGAGAGTATTAATGCCTTGGGTGAAGGTTGGTATTAAAACTTTTTCAAATTCTCTACTAAAACTCACAACACTACAGGAGTTATGAGTGTGTTGCTGACATTTTTGGGAATAGGGTTTTGTAGATTTAGGGATTAGGGAGGAAAAAAATATTGGGCCACTGGTAACATCTTACACACACATGGGTGATAAATAGGAACTAGTTTTATGTTAACACAACATTTAACTTAACAAAATCATTACAAGGTTTAAAATTTATAAAAAATACAATTAAGAAAATATATTTTCTACACAATGCAATTTTTTATTATTAAACTTTATTTGGAGAACATAATATAGTTTTAACAGTGAATTAAAATTCATAGAATTTCTTTTATCCCATTTTTTATTGTCTGTTTGCCACATGGCATAGGCCTTTTCCAACCTTCTCCATTCTGGCTCTACTCCATGCTAAACCACCTATAAAATGTATTTCCAGGTTTCAAAGCATCCAGTGCCCTCTTCAGACATGAGGTAGCATTTGTGTTTGGACAGATGCAGGACGAGAGGAGTGTGCCATTCTTGAAGAAGACTCTTGAGGATACTAGTGAGCATGAAATGGTGCGGCATGAGGCTGCTGAGGCACTCGGCTCCATTGCCACTGAAGAATGCACTGAGGTCCTGCAAAGGTAAACTTGACCTCAACATATTATGTATATTTAGGTAAACGAGGGACAAAATATGTCCTCATTTAGGTTTACATAATGGTTTCTTAGCATCTGGAAGTATCAGAAAGCAATTGGGTAGTCTCCTTGGTCAAAAGTAATTATTTTAACTTAATATTCAATATGGTAATCACACATTCATTGATTATCCTATAACTGCCTAAAAAACTATTGAAGGCTAATTTGTCCAACATAGCGTTCAATGTGTTAATTTTATGTTATTATACGTACTAAATATCATATCATATTTTTTTAGATAATTCAATAGAAATATTGCTATTTGACGTAAAATCGTAATTTTTTGATCAACTTTTCTTTAAAATACTGAGAAAAGCTCTACTAGTTTCGAACCACAGAGGGGTTCTTGATTTTTAGTTAATTTAGTATGTCTCACGATAGTTATTATAAAAATAGAGCTTTTCTTTTCCTCGGCATGTTATGGAATATGAAACCCTTAGTCAAGTGAGATTCGTTGGAAGGAATTGGTTGGAAATTGTAGAAATTTACGAACTACATGTGTTTGCTAAAGTTGCTTTTTGCATGGTCATATAATTATGTATTTGTACGCAATTCAATTTGTAGAGGGTACCTAATGGTGCCCTAGGCCGAGGCTGAGGTGCCTTATTACGCTTACCCCGCAACCCCGGCTGATGCATAATCATTGCTAGAGTGTATTATTATTTTAGTTTATTTGTTATAGGCGATGGTCCAATCTCTACTGGTGGTAAGTGATTATACAGCTCTAAAAGGAGCACCCAGGGGCATGTGCAACCTCTTCACTTGGGCCTGAAACACAGGCTTGTTTGCCCACATGTTTAGAATCGACAATCTGACACTAACATAGCAAAATTTTATTTTAATTGATAGTAATTATTGCTCTATATTTCCAGGTATCTGAACGACCCTCGTCCAGTAGTCCGCGAGAGCTGCGAGGTGGCGCTGGACATGTCTGAGTACGAGAACAGTCCAGAATTCCAATATGCGAACACTTTGCTTACGGTTGAAGGCTGATACTTATTTTTTTATTAATATTTATTACTCTTATTATATTTTTGCTACGAAATAGTTCTTTGAATTACTTATACAAGGAATGTAACGAAAAAGATGTCGAAAATTGACAGTTTATTGATGTTTTTTTTATATTGAATGTATTATTTTAAGACGCTCCTTGATAGCATTTCAACAGGTGAAAACAGTTATTGGCTAAATTTTGTAAGATAAAGCTATCAGACAATAGTTTTGCGGAACATTGCAGCAGATAATAATATTGATACAAGAATATGCACTTGATACAATTCTGTTATAATATCAACTGTAATTTAATTAAATAAGTATTTTTGTAAATAAATTCTAGTGATAAAATTGATATTTGTTTTTGTTTGTTATTAAATGTGGAAGAACAGTAAACGAGATGTGACGTTTCAAGCTTCTATTACAGTTAAAAGTGCATACCTAAATAGTTTTTAAATAGAATATAATATTAGACTAGCAGACCCTGCCACGCGTTGCTGTGGAGTAAATAATATTGTGACTAAAAATTGAGATGTAAGCTATCCTATCTTTCAAGTTGAATCAAAATGCACACGGAATGCAAATTAAATTTAAAATCGGTTTAGTAGTTTAGGAGTCCATCGCGGACAAACACGTGACATAAAAATTTTATAAGGTATATAAGTAAAGATAAGTCCAAAAAGTAGTGTAGGTACATGTCTATACACATGTTAATACAATTAAAGTTAAAAATTCTAATATAAATATCCTCATTGCTAAAAGAATTTGAATTCAATTTATTTTCTCGATATTGAATAGTAATAAAATGAAACGAAAATATATAGTTTGTTACGATTTTTATTTATGAATTCGCATTGCACATAGTAAACGTCAAATGTCTTGAGCACATTTTCGAAGAATGTTTTGCTGACGCGCATAAAAAGAATAATTTGTGAGGAAATAATGTTATTTTTATTTTATACAATTCTTGTGCAATGATTGCCGCGTTGAAGACTTATTGCATTGTTTTATTTCTCTATTTTATTTTTGCTATGGCGGTGAGTATTGCACCTCTAACAGTTTATTTAAAAATGTTCGCCTCGCAAATGAATTTGTGGAGTAGGACTCCCATCCTTTTTTTGCTAGGGAAAAATAATCAAATGGCTCCTCCCGCCCAGGGAAAGGCGAGAGAGTGTCAGACTCTTACTGACTAAAAACACCGCCGTTCCTTCGCCTGGTTTAGGCCGAGGCCGCGGTACCTCTTGCGCTTACTTCGCAACCCCGGCTGACGACGCCTATCCTAGCGTTCGGTTCTGGATAGATATAGTATATAGTTAATCCAATAGATAATTATTTCTGGACCATTTCTGAATCGTCATGTGATGATAGGGTTAATTGCCAACCGCTTTTGTCTTCAATGTGATTTACGTAATAACGATTATTGGACTTTCCAATAAGGAAGTTCCACTGCCATCTTAGCTACCGATCATGCACCCAATGTTAGGATTACCGGGAAGCCGTGTCCTGTTTCTGCGAAGCAGTTATGCTAGTAAAGGAGTAGGCGGTACGCTTGAGGGAACTGTCTTTGTCACGCCCCAGCCGCCGCAGTAGGTGACACTCCGGGCGTCCGAGATCGAGAGATGATCTCCGGCCGCCGCAAGCGCGGGTCTGTGGACGTCAAGTAAGGGTAGCTAGCCAGAACCAGACCCGAGCGTACAGCGCGTTGCGTTCCGAGCGCGTCTCAAGAAGCCATGACACTTGACAGAGCTAGCAACTAGCAAACAAGTTACTCACGTGAATTAATTGAGAAAAGCTCGACTAGTTTCAAGTCACAACGGGACTCTTATTCATGAGCAGGGTGCCCGTCGTGGCGACGTCGGACACAATTTTGACAGAATCTCTAGACCACAGATTCTGTCAAAAGCTTAGATCAATCTAGATTAGTTAATACTTTCAGCAGTATGGTACCTAAGCCATACTCGTATCATCAGCTTATAAGTGCCCACTGAGAAGTTTGGAGCATTAATTATTACACTCCTGAATTATCATATTTAATAAGAAACAATTATAAGTTCGGGTTTCCTCACGATGGTTTCCTTCACCTATATGTAATAGTACGTCTAAATAAACTTAGATCTATAGTAAATATAACTCGGAATAGGTATCTAAAACATCTTCGTAGCTAAATTAACTAGCTAATAATATTTTGTTTAAGACGTCAGACGTGTTGGATACGGAGCGCTCCTCGTTCCTGGGCTTCACACACGAGATTGACATCAGTCCCAGCACCCTGGAGCTAGTGGAACAGTTGACGAAGGTTATATTCGAGTGCGAGCAGGGCGACCGCCGCGTGCGCCGGTATTTCGAACATTATGAAACGCCCTTCGTAGGCGACAAGATCTAATGATTTTTGTAATGTGTAAAACTAGTGTTTAATAAATGATTTTTAGGGAGTTGTATTTTTTAAATTAGTCCAAAACAACTGAGCATTTTTGTAACTAATATGAAATGCATCGGAGCGTGAGAGATAAAGGCTGTCGAATAAGTACCTACGGAAATTTTCTGCTCATGCTAAGAGGCGAGAAGCGATTTTGTTTTATACTAAGTAGTGATAACTTAGTATAAAACAAAATCGCTTCTCGCTACTGCCCGTATGTAGGTATGCTTACATTTTTAAAACTGCGTGACGGCTTTTTAGGTAATTAATTAGGTAATATAATGATTCAAGAGGAAGGTTAATATAACTATTAACCCAAGTATAATTTATTAAGTAATGTTTGCTGACGGAGCAACGGGTAACTATTATAAAATGAAGTATATAGTTATCTTAATAAGTAAGTGTATATTATAAAGAATACCTATTTATCTAAATACGAATAGTTTTTCAGAAATACGATGGGGATAAAGAAAATACATAACTACGTGTTCTAATCTTAATCCCAATAACTTTAGTAATGATATGAGACAAAATTAATCCAATTATTTCTCCACGACCATTGTATTGATTGAGTAATTCCTAATTGATTCCATCCTATTAATTACATCGAATATTGCCACTTTACAAACTACACCACAAAAAAAAACAAACAAAAGACGACCATTAAAAAAGAACTCCGTGCATTTTCATATTTCTTGAATGTAGTGAATTTCATTTATTTTGTGTTGGTAACACTGTAGTCAATGTTTTCTGAGGAGGTTTTATTCAGCCCCTCAGGGGAGGTCTGTGTCTGAACAAAATTGGATTGTCACTTGCCGACGGCACTTTGGCAGTCGACCACCTGCACTTCTTGAATGCTGCATGAAGCCGAGCCTTTTATGAAGAGATATTTTATTTAGAAACGGATTACTGGTCTGCGGGGATCACGGGTCGTTGTGTTTGACATTTACTGCGTAGAATACTTTATTTTAAAAAGCTGGGATTTTTGTTAACGTCGTTTTTAAAAACTCTTTATATAATCGTATTAGGTCCTTTATCCATTTTGGATGGGGGATGAATAAATGGATTGATTTAGTTTGAAATGGGCTTTGAACTTTGATTGGATTTAGTTTTTATCTTTTCCTACCTTATCTATACTAATATTATAAAGAGGTAAATTTTTTAGGTTTGTGAGTTTGTATGTAGGGGGTAATCTTTGTAACCGAAATTTTAGCATCTACAATGTTCCTGAGTGCTATAGGCTATAAAACATCACACCACGATCAAATGGAGCTGAGCAGCGAGTGAAACCGCGCGAGAGTAGCTAGTTTACTTATATAGCGAAGACATACAATTCCCATTGTTTAAGAGTTAGCCAGCATTGTTGAACCGGCTGCTGCGCTACGTGGCGGCTTCGATATCCGGGTCTGGGTATGACGTGTTTGTGAAATTGTACACAAAAATTTTTTTTTAACGCCTTTTAAATTGCCATTACAAAATAGTTAGATTTTTAGTGCAAAATATCGTCGATATACTAAAGTTACAATAACTATTATTTTACATAGATACCTACAGTTATTAATAAAATCTTAAAGACGAAAAGGTTTTATCAGCGCCTTAACTATGACGTTTACCTACGACTAGAATACCTACTCTATGTAGATTCTAGGTTATCTAGACACTGATTCCGAAGCTTCTCACGTAGATCTTAAGCCAACCACTTGTGCAAAGAAGCGGTCACTCGTAGTGTATTGCTCTGAGCCATAAATATATTTATTCGAGCGTACAACCAAGTCCCATAGGAACGAACTAATATTTCAAGTTGAATGGAATGATTCCAATATTTTTATATAGGAAGGTGGTGTTTGAATTATAATTTAGATTTAGTTTTGCCTTGTTTCTATGGCGATCAGAGGCTCAACGGATAAGGAACGATCTCTTTTTCAATACGCTAGTTTCCAACTAGTCAAATATTAGATATACCATCCAAATTCCAAAAACGGTTACTTTTCTACGAAATTTGTATGAAAAACTTATATAAAAACTTATGTAAAAAATATCTAAAATTTAGTGTAGGTATCCATCGTTCGAAGAATAAAAGTATTTACTTAGTTATTTTTTAAAAGAGGTAATTTTATTGAAAAGAAACTTCGTTGAAAAGAAACTTACTCATTTATTTTTGACCTAGGAAACTACCCAGTTTTTCTTAGTGTGGGAGAACCAAGCTTCGGCACGAATGGGTCGGATCGTACGGAGTGATACCATGAAACGACGTGTAACAAATTAGCGTTGTGTTTCGCCGTGTGTGTCACGTTACCGGAGGCCCATCACTCCCCAATCCTTAAATATCCGAAACCCTTATCCTCAACTAACTCCATCAGGTTATCCGGCAACTCGTTTTCCGAGTTATCGCATAAAAAATTACTTGTTGAGTAGGTAAAACTGCACGGTTGGTGCGGTGGCTGGGCAACTGGCTACCGTGCAACGTGTCGCGGGTTCGATTCCCGTACGGAACAACTCTTTGTGTGATCCACAAAATTAAATTGTTGTTCCGGGTCTGGTTATCATGTGTATTATTTTTGTTTTATAAAGAATTTATGATTACTCTTTGTTGGGGACGCAATTGGGTTTAATATTTTTTTCTATTGCCATAATTTACAGAGTGTGTTTATAATATTAGTAGGCTACGTTGGAATCGTGTGTACCTATCTATACCTACCTATCTAAGTGTAAAAATAA